TATGAAGTTATGGGAGATCCTTGAGGATGAAAAGCAGATTCAGTGCATGCTATTGTTATTCTGTGTACCCCCTGATAAATAACTTCTGTTTAAGTCACTCTTAGCAACAAAACCCACTGTGTTCATAAAAAAAATATCAGCAACTAGAAGAAAAAGATGAGAGGACTTTGTACTAAGCTGTTTGTTGAATAAGAATAATTTATATAGACAGCAGTATTTGTGTATTGCAAAACTCAGGAGCATAAGGTATGATATACAAGAATGGTGTATCAGAAGGAGAGACTTGAATTTTTAATCATAAAGCCAAGCAAACCAGTATAACAGTTGCTATTTTGAATATACTAGCAACATGAAACTTGAAAATATTTAAAATAAATAAACGTAAAGGTTTATTATAACCATCTAATTCTTAGAAGAGAAGACTCAATATGTGCAAATAAAAAAGCGTCTCGTCAAAACAAAAATATTCTCTGAATGATATCTCCTCTCCATCAGAAATTTTCAGTGAAATATTATCAAGTGAAAAAGCATAAGAAAATCTATAATAGCAATAATAATCTAGAAGAGTAGATCAACACAAGAATCATCAGAAACATTAAAAGATTCATGTAGCTTTTTTGCAGCAAGCAAACATTATTTTACATAATTTAAATCCCATTCTAAAATTGGTATTTTATTCCCACTCTCACAGCAAGGCTCTGACAATCAGTTCTTGCTGTCATTTATGGATTGAAAGAGTAAGGATATTGCCTTAAATACCTTTCCTGAAAATTACATTAGATTTATTTAAAAGAAACAAAACTCTCTTTAAAGCTTTGTTCCAACTTTAAGCAATGACTGAAAAGAGTAGGCATTTTCCAGACCTTGAGATTAACACTTTTGAATAATCTGAGTGAGGAAGGAAGAAAACTCAAAGTCCATCAATTTTATCCAATAGCAAAAGAAGCAGAAAGACCTACTCCTTCACACATGACATCAAACTGCGACCTCCTCACCACAAGGTACAGAAAGTACTTACATAGTTAAGTCCATTGAGAGGTAAATAAAAAGACATCAGGGGATTCAGAGAGCCTGTAAGTCAGAAGGCTCCTCTAGATGGGGAGAGCACTAAAGGGAATCAGCACCGCATAAAGCAATAAAGCATTCCTTTTGGCTTGTTTTCATGGTAAGGACTGGCATGGAAAGGTCCAGAGCTCCAGTCTTCCTCAGCCAGATTGTTCTTAGGACTAATCCTCACTTTTAGGGCAATTTTCAAGAGAGGAGGAAACGAGTCATGTAACACCACATATATATTCTCAAGCAAATAAAAAAAGTTCTGAGTTTTTCCTCATTATCAATGCTAACAGGACAAGAATTCCACTGCATAATAAATGATTGAGTCTCACAAACGCTAGCTACTCTGAAACAAGTAACTGTACCTATCTCTCCCAATACCTCTTAATAATACCTCTTTGTTGTATGGCACTGTAAGAAAACATGCTTGCAATAAAATCACAAAGGATTATAAACACTGCAGTTTAACTTAGTGGTATTGATTAACTCAGAAAAAAATAGCATATTAGAAAACTGACTACTACCTAAAAACTGGGTTTAAACAAGACAGTTTTGTGAAGCTGTCGTGTCTGCAGAAGGGAATGACCTAGTCCTGGCAAGACCAGTTTATGTGCTTCCAACTAAAGCATCAATAGATTTAAGTCAACCAATTTTCTACATAGTCCCTTGCTTCTGAAAACAACACAGAAAAAGGATGATTCAGAGGAAATCAAAACATCAACTTCAGGTTAGAAAACACTTAAAAAATGCAGGACGATTTTTCTTCCCTGTGTCTACATTGCTGAGGTATCCAAAAGCATTAGATTTTAAGACCTTTGGAAAGATTTTTTTTCTTTTGTTGAAACATCAGTTACTCGCTACTGCGAAAGGGATGATACCAGACTGATGAACCACTAGTTCGATTTGGCATGGCAAGTTCTGTGTTCCTTTGATGTGGAAGGAAACTGCATTGCTGACACACATGCACACTGACTCTCTCAGGGCTTCTTCTCCCATCACTGGACAAGGTGTTTAAGCAATAACTCGTTAACGCTTATATGAGCTCTATGTGTAAATCCTCCACAACACTGATGGAAAAAGCAGAAGGCAGTGCTTTGCAAATGTTTTATCTAAAGCATTGACACCACAAGAACTAGTGTCTTCTATGGAAGAGTAGTGCTGAAGACTTCAAATAATTTTATCCCTCCTTAAATCTGTCAACAAATAAACAGTTTTTTAAAATTGTTCTCTTTAAGAGCATATGATTTGGGGTGAAAAGGTTTCATGCTTCCTTGATTCTAAGGAATACAATTTTTCTTTCAAGCTGCATGAAATGCAATGCAATAGGTAGAGAATATGATTTATCTCTGACTATTGTTGCCCAAACACACACAAAAAAGACAAAAGCATTAATTGATGAAATATCTTAAATAGCAAATTTGTGGATTTTCATAGAACTTACAACAGTGTTATTCTGCTACTGCAAAGAAAAAGCAAACCAAAAGATAAAAAAAAAATAAAAACACCAAACAACCTCAAAACAGAGTGAAATTTATATACAAACTGTTGACTGTAGTGGACTTCATTTTCTAAGGTTGAAAATCAGTCTCAAGGAATTAAAAACTAAGTCCAGCCTTGCTTCATATCAAGTTTATACCAGCATCTTCTAATATATTCTGTGTGTGTCAAGCACATTAAAAAAAGTCCCAGATTTAATGGCCATGTCTCATGTTTAAAACTTGCAACTCAAGCAAGCAATCGTCACCTTTTCTATCAGGTGTTATTTTCATCAAGCTGCTTTTTGTGTTTAAATTTGAAAATCCTTTCAAACTAATCCCATCCTAGTCAGTAAATCCAACCATTCCTGTGGCCAAGCAAGTCTTTATTACCTAGCTCTGTACATCGGAAGCTGAACTGCTGCAGAGCAACTGCTAATAACCTCATTATCCACTGGGGCCATGCAGATGGTACGGCGCATAATCTACACAAGGGATGCTTAAAATTAGTTATGAGGTTTTAAAATTGGTGTCCTGCAAAGCAAAAATTCAAACAAATTAATGAAATGCCCTAATAAGCATAAATGGATACACATTTGCCTTATTTATTTTTGTACTTTAGTATGACTGAAACAGAGGAGAAGAAAGGCTAAAATTAATTACAAATTCTCATGAGTCACTGACTTTCAGTGAATGAAGACTCAACATGGAGACTAGACCAACCAATAATTTATCGTCCCAGATCAGACACTGCAAAACCATGTTAAATGCTCCTGTTATTTGTTCTATTTATTACCTGTCATAGGATACAAAATTCACTTTATAATTCCATTTACTGACTTTTTTTCTCATATTAACTATGCAGAAGGTTTGCGTGGAACAATTTTAAGGCACATTTTAAATTGGTCAGTGCAAGCTCCATGTTCCCCGATTCCCACATATATAATACATTAATCACCCTTCAATGAATCACAAAGCGGAATAAAAACATGCCTGGATTAGCAGAGCTGATTTGACTCACCCATTATTCTGCTCAGCGCCGCGTTCCTCGTGGGTGATTCGCTGAGGCCCTCGATCCCACCATAGAGGGAGTGGGAAATCCTCCTTTCCCGGTCATCCAGCAGAGTCTCTATAGGCAGCTCTGGCCCAGAGGGGCTCCCAGGTGACTCCAACTGCACAGAGAGAGGAAAATTAGCACCCAGGGTCCTTTTAGCAGCATGGGGGAACTGTAACAACTTGCCTAAGGCCTAGAGCTGTCTGGGCACCAAATGAGATAGAACTTCTCACCCTGGACAAATATAATTTGCAATGACAGCTCTGCTTAATGACCAACTTTCTAAGCCATTTTACACCGTGCCTCCCATGGTGCCCTGTCAAATTTCAAATCCTGCAGGAGGAAACTGGTGAAAAAAAACCCATTGCATTTTGGTGTGTCTCTGTTGGATTATTTCTTAAACAGACATTTTGGCTTTTTTCAGCACCCTTGGGCAGACAGCTGGGCCATTGTTCCCACACTGACAGCCTGTCAGAACAAGGCTCCTGTCAGGAGCGCGGAGCAGGAACTCCATTTGGAATTGGACTGTTGGTGCTTTTTGAAGTGGTGCAATTTGCTTTCAAATGTAATCATCATAGGAACCCCCAGGAAACCCCACCACATGTATTAGTAACCAATACGTAAACACTCAAATGTATTGTAGTTAGGAGGAAACGGGAAAAAAAGAAGTCAGGCCTCACAGTAACTTTTTTTTTCTCCTATTTATGATGAGTTCTTTGCTCTGCCTTTCCTGGACACAGGATACAGAGACCTCATATACTTCATTCAGTCTGGAAGCTTCCCTGATGCCCGGCACTGCTGCAGCATCCAGGCAGAGCCACAAAAACCACAACTGGTAAGACCTGAGGTGCCCCCCTACCCCAGCCCACCACCACTGCAGGCAGATCTGGGGCATTAAGAGGCAGATGAAGTAGGTGATGGAAGAAGTGATGGAGACAAGCTTCTTGGCCATGAAGATTGCATGTATGACTGCCTCCCCACCCCAGTTGTCTTCTATCAGAAGGCTCCCCTGAGTGACTTCCTGCTCAGCCTTTGTTAGCAGAAGCTGCTCATCCCTTGTTTTCCTGCCTCTCAAATTTTTTAAAAAGAGAGGAAAATATCAACTTTTCCTCAGTGAACCCCAGAGAATCAGAGCTCGGTAGAAAGCAGCGCCCATGCAAGGCAAAGAAATAAAACAACTTGATATCATCTAGTGGGGCTTAGCCACCCCATTAGCCATGGGCAGCTCCACTGCTGCTGCAATCGCAGCACCTGGGAGCGAGAAGAATGAGCGTCTGGGCACTTGTCGGTCAGCTCGGAGGACAAATTTGTCAGCACCCAGCCACTCGCCATGCAGATAAAGACACCCCACACCATCACCTAGCCCTCGCACCATCCAGCCTGTCCCTAAAGCCCTTGGCTGACCTGAGTTCTAGCATTCTGCTGATACTCAGTAATGCTGCCAAACGAGCTTCTCCAAGAGCATTAAATCAATTCGTCTAAACATCATGGGCTGTATCCAACTCTATTAAAAAAAAATAATTTAAAAATATTTTAAAATAGATGCATTTTTCAGGATAATTGTATGAACTCACACATCAAAGTGTTAGTTGTTTCCACTGACATGCCTCTTCATATTAAAGTGTACAGTTAAAAGTTAAGAGCAATGTCTTACACAAATCCTACAGCATTTATTTTATATGTACTGAACTACAGCAAGGACTAGATACTGCAAGATACTGAGCATGCTGCAAATTCTCGGAAGCCACTGGGAATGCTTATTCCAAGGACTGGTCTCTAAACGAGCATAAAAGGAATAGTTCATAGTTTCAGGAATTACAATAACAAGCAACATGTTTGTTGGTTGTTTTTTCTTCTTTAAACAGCTGCCCATTATTAATCACTCGACCCACAATCCCCAGATGACAAAGAAATGTATGCTATGAAAGACTTTTAGAAATCTGCTTCAAGGGCTACAAAGCACTCGGCTGCAGTCTCCACAGCAGAGGCTTTGAAGTCAGCCCAATGGACTAACGACTTCTGACACTCGGGCACTGGCGTAATGCCTGGTACACAGAGGGGTAGAGGTTTGCAAAATGCCACATTACAAAGTTGAGGACACCATGATCAGAAGGTCATAGAGCCTGTAAAAAATCATTATTTCTGTTCAAAGCTATCATCTGTTTAATATAAATGAGATATTTAATGAAGTTCCAAATTGTAGACTTATCTCTCCCAGTTTGATAAGCACTGGGGAGATTTACTGCATCGGAGGGTCAACACAATTACAATTGGAGGCACGTCAAGCTGCAGAAGAATAATAAACTTGCAGTGCAAGTGAATTAGACTCAATAAGGTTTAAATTGTGAAATAAGGATTTGTTTTATTAGTTTTTTTAAACTGCAGATTACAACTGACAGCTTTACTGAAAAGTAAATTAAACAATATTTGTAGCCTCTGTTATAAGGGCAAATTCAAAAAGAATGGAAATGTTAAATTCTGAAACACTGTAAGAAAAAAGCACACCAACGTTAGACTGCTTGGAGAGCTTAAACTTGCATGATAAAGGCATTAAATCACAAACTAACCTTTATTTTATTGCCTTTAAATAAGGTGTGAAAATATCAAAGTGCTTGGGATTTATTCTCCCAGTGCTATATTGATGACTTTATGTAACAAGTGTCCAGCTTTTAGTGAGCCATATCACACAGTCGCTCTTTATGCGACAACCCATCAACTTTCAAACTCATTTGTAGGAAGGACTCAGGAGATTTTCAGAAAGATACTAACAAGAAGAAAGCTCTGAATCAGAGAAATACATAGAAATTCACTCCTGGTAAAGCAATAAAGTACAGGGTAAATAAAAGAAATAGCAAGAGCACTGTGTTTAGATGGTTGTGTTTTGTTAAGTCAAACACTTATTTCATCATTTTCATGGGGAAAACTTTTTCCATTTCTAATTAGCATCTCAAAAGATGGCATTTACAGCCAACTACACAAATATTTTACAAAAGATACAATGCCATTTATAAAATAGGAAAAATTGGATAGGAATTAAACTGGCTTTCACCAAAAAAAACCCCAAACCTGTGCTGTGGGCAAGACAAAGAGACCAACAGTCCAAAGCAAGACTTGCAATTCAAATAAAGACTTGTTCTTCCTGATGCTTTTCTAATAAAGAGCTTGAATTAAACATTCCAGTTCCTTTCCTTAGCTGATTCCAGTGCTATGCAGTACAGTTTAATTTGATTAACTGATAAAGAGTACGTAATATAAATGAAGATGCACAAGTTCTTGACTTTTATTAAAGGTCTGGCAAGGAAAGTAAGCTAGGCAGCAACTGGCCCCTATAATTCACATCAATAGCTGCCCCTAGCAGGAGCACTTCTCCATGTGACAGTTCAGAGCCACAGACCAGGTGATGCTGGATGGAACCACTGGAGATTATCTAGTCTAACCTCTTGCCCAAAGCAAGGTCAGCAAGAACAGGTTTATCAGTGCCTTGTCCAATTGAGTTTTTAATACCTCCAAGGACAGAAACTCCACCACTTCTTTGGGCAACATGTGCCAGTGGATGACCACCCTCTCAAAAGAAATCTTTTTGTTATGTTTAAAGAAATGTATTTCAGTTTGTGTCCATGGCTTCTTGCCCTGGCACTGGGCAGCCCTGAGAAGAGTCTGGATTGGTCTTCTTTATGCCCTCCATCAGTTGTTTATAGACACTGGTAAGATCCCCCTGAACTTTCTCTTCTCTCAGCTGAAAAGAGAAAGTTTCCTCTCTGGGTCCTAGCACTGATCTATAATAAATGATCATATTCATAAAAATGCAATAAAATCTCACATGCTACAGATTGCCTGTAGCTCCTTTGCTCTCCATTCTCTTAAAATAAAAATAGAAACTTTTTTTTTTTAAATAAAGAAGCACTCTACCCTGGCCCTTTGTCATTCAGATAAGAACCAGCTGTTTGCTAAAGCACTGTCTGTACTAACTAGCCCAGCTGCTGCTTATCTAGATGATAAAAGGACAACTAATGCAGTCCTTTTTACTTAAACACCACCATCCATCCTATCTGAAGTCATGCACATAAATATGAAAAAAGTTTATGCAGAAGAACACTGCCAAAATATTCAAAGCATAAACAAACTTTTTTTTTTTAAAAAAGAAACAATAATCAGACTCCCTTTTTCCTTCAAAAGTAAATTATCCAAATACTGGCATGCAAGCATTATGGATTTTAAAGAACTCAGTATACAAATATGCTATATATTACACTGCATCCAGAGTACTGAAGCTCTTTCTGTCACACAGAATTATTCTCCAGGCTTTCTTTTTCCTTTCTTTGTACTGTGGCTAAGATGTCCAAAATGCTTCAGCTTCCTTTTTCAACAGAGATACTTTTATAATACTGCTACCAATATTAAATAAGGTTTTCTTTGTTACCACCCAAGTTGGGATCCTGCTTTAGGGACAGACTTTGCAAGATGCAAAAATGTATGTAAATAGCCAGTAAAAGGGTCAGGTTTGACTTACATGCACAATCATGCACTAGTAAATGTACAATTAGTACAATGCTTCTAAGAAACACTGCATTCTGCTTCTTACGATGTTAAAAGGCAAGCAGAAGACAAAACATGCTTTCAGAATGGTGGGAAGGAACCCACACAGCTTTATAAAATGTAGTTAAGATGGTATGTTATAGGGTATGGGGAGGAACCGGGGCCAAGATGGAGCTTGTAAGTTGATACCAAGGATAGAAAACAGATGAAGGAGAAAAAAGTAAGTCACAAATAAATGGCAACAGGTAGAAGAGCAGAACAGAAGACATAGGATACTTCAAAATAGAAAACTGTGTACATACTTTCCCAACAAGTAACTTCTAAAAATATTTCTTGGGATGTTTACTTTTAGAAGTTTACCTAAGTACACTGAAAATCATGCACCAAAAGACCACCAGAGGCCTAAAAGGAGACTATTAACAAGTCCTATATTAGAAGCTCAGGTAAAATGTGCCACAATTAAAAAACCCCACCGATATGGCCCCAGAAATTGAGAGAAAGAAGGAAGAATTTAAGCAGCATCTTTCAGAGACTACTCAGACTGAAGGTAAAATGTTCACCAAGGACATCGACAGTGAAGCA